GGGATCCGGCCCCGAGAGCCAGGACCTCGCCGCAGCCTCCCCGGGGCCCCCAGGACCAGCCAGAAAACGACTTTATCTGCCAAAGAGAGGCAACTTCGGGAGGAAAATCTGCCTTAACCCCGTTCTCCTCCCCCGCCTCCCTGTGAATAAATAAAATCCTAAGTGTCTAGGTGTGCGGTCCCCTCTCGAGCTCCCCGGCTCCCCTCCCTACCTCCCCCCGGCGGCTCGGGCTGGAGAAAGCAGCGCCCGGGGGGCCGGGGTGAGAGCTGCTGGAGCGCAGACTGAGACTTTAGACTCCAGCCTCCCCAACCCCCCTCCACGGAGCAATCTGGGGACCCAGGAGTGGAGAGAGAGTAGGGGCTTTGTGGCGCTGGAAGCTGAGGAAGAATGAAATGTGCAGTTGAGTGTGTTGCTCACATCCCATGGAGCAATGCAGTGCTGATTGTCTGTTGCTGAGATAGCCTTTTGTTCGAAACATAAGGTTTAAGAAACACACACACGTTTTCTGGGGTCTCTTGTTAGATGTAAATGTGCTGCATCCAGACGCTTACTATGCAGTGTAAGCTCAGTTGGTTTACTAATCACCCCGCCCCACCCCCAAACAATCAGGATCCTTCGAATGGGAACCTCATTCAGACTTCTAGACTGAGAGGATTGCCTTCAACCTATTTCATTCTAGACTAGCCAACCATCCAACTGAGATAATAAAGCAAACAATAACATTTGATCATGATGTCTATGAGATAATACGCCCGCCAAACTTCTTTAGGAATTGTAATGAGAAAGAGAGTTGAGTAATAATTCCTCTTCATTTTCATTAAATATGACTTTAATAGACAAATTTGTGAGCTTATACTTTGGCCTGGTGGACGTCCAGTCCACTGTATTTCAACTAAGCTAAGAATGAAAGAGGCAAATTATGTATCCCACCAGAAGCCCATCAAGCTGAAACGTTACCTTTGAAGAGGGGAACCGAAAATGTACTTGTTTAGGAACGACCCTCCTCCTCCTAACTGTTCATATTTCTTCTCTGGTGTAGCTTTAACAAACTAAATAGCAGCTCTCCAGATGCTGAAATCCAGCTCTTTAAAAATACCAAACATAAACTTTGAAATTAATTTCACTCGCGATTTTCTCACATTTGAATGCATGCATTTAGTTAACAATAAGAAAGAAATTTTTGTGTCAAATCTAGGCAAATTTACAGTCCATGAAAGAGTGATTGGAGATGTTAACAAATATTTCTAAGGAGTGAGGTTTCTATTTGGAGTGGATTTGACCTTTCTGCACGTTAGGAAAAAAAAAAGCTGGACTTCAAAATGAAACAGAAGAATTTTATTCTGCTGTAACAGAACACTGAACCCCCTTTAGTTGTCTTTTTAAAAAAAGGATAGCATGAAAAATTCTTCATTTCATCACAAAGGAAATATCTGTCACTACTGAATTAAGTATGGATGAATTTTTTAAACTGTAAAAAACTCATAATTTCAATTATTGCCCATTTGGGGAATGACAACCAAAAATCCTCTGGACACACAGCAGATGCTCCGTGCAATTCATGCAAAACTGCTCTGTCCTTGTTTGTTAAAAAAAGTTCAGAGCTCATCAACCTTTAACACTAAATTATTGGTGTTCAATTTACAGTTCCTTGTGTAAATGAAAATATTGAATGAAATATAATAGAATGCCTATCGAGTATAAAAACAATGTGTTTGGGTGACACACTTAAACCAATTCACTTGCAGTATCTAAACAAATCCCTACTCTTTAGAAAAGAGAGGAAAAAAGTGAGGGGAGCAAGAATATATTAATAGGTAATAACTAGTACTTTTTAAAATTCCCTTTTAAATTCATTTGAAACATTATAAAATCCATTTTCCAACACATCAATGAACATAATTATCTGTGGAACCAAAGAAAAGGAAAACTATTCAGAAGAGCACTGAATGTATTTACACAATTTTAAAAATGTTCAAAATTGCATATACCCCAGGGGGACCAAAGACTTATACTATAGAATATCCATTATGTGGTTTGCTAATAAGATCCACCATGGGTTTGTCATTACTCTACTTCTAATATTTTTTTCTTTTAATAATGGGTAAGATATGCTTCTGTATCATTACTTTAAGCAAAAGAAAATAGAATGACTGTTTTTCAAAGAGTTTTATTGCTCTGTTTGCAATGTTTACAGTTTTTGCCATTTTAAAAATGTTTGATGCTGTGGTACAATTAAGTAGCATTCGAATGGTCATCATATTCTATCCACATTCATCTGTTAAGATTTGTATTCAAAAGAAATTTTCTGGCTATAGCTGACATCCATGGCTATGTTTCATGAAACTTTTCCTGTGACAACATGAGAACTAGAAATTGAGAAAAGAAAACTGATTAGCTAATCAAGGGAACACTTAATACAGAGAAGAACTGATTTGGCTAATTTTTTCCCCATTGCCTGCTCAGTTACAATGGTTATTTCTTTCTTTTAACTGGGTCTGTTTTAATGTAGAGACATTAAAACATAATGAATTGTGTTTTGACAAATACATGAGTTTCTAATACGCAGTGTAATTTAGCTTGGGCTTTTTAAGAAAATCAAAATAAACATAAGAATAAACATAACTATTATTTTCCTTCAGGAGTGTGTGTCCGTGTGTCTTTGCATATTGTGCTTCTAGTCCTCTTAAGTCAATTCAGAGGAGAATTTGTTTACTTTTTCCTTATTTTATTCTTAAAATAATACAAGAAATAGAAACAGCAAAAGTGAAGGAAAGCTAAGGAAATAAATGAGGTGACACAGAATGTGACTTTGCAGCTGACTGTATGTTTGTCTGCACTGGACTAAGGATAATATGAACTAGTGTGGTCACAGAGATGAGCCTTACCTATGTGAGGAAAGAGGAGAAGAGCGAAAAAATGATCGGTGCTCCTGATCGGCAGAAGGAAGAAAAGGTTAGAGAGGGGAGGGGACAAGATGCTTTAAAGAGAAATACAAGTTTAAAGGGCAATTAAGTATAGTTTTCATAAAATGTTAAACAATTCAGTTCAATTTTTCAATATTGTTCTTTGGTTTGGCACTTGAGCACTAAGTATTTTAATAAAACAGGAAACTAATAATAACTGCTTTTAAACTATTGTCACTCCAGGACTTAAGAGTTGTTTATGAAATCGAGACCTTTCATACTTATATCACTAAGTCTTACAATAATAAAAATTAGTGATACAATAATTTTTAATGCTTCCATAAAATTGCAGTATATTTTAAGGAACATCATTTATACTTCAGTTCAAATAAGACTAGTAGGCAGTTGTTATGCATTCTCTTCCACTCCAAATGCTAGTGAAAACCTTGAACTCATTGAGTAAACTACCTCAGATTGCTCAGAATCACACTTTAACATAAAGATTCTGTCAAATGCTGTTGAAGTGGGCCACATATCTCCTGAGTGATAGATCCCTGTGGTAGAGACAACTGGGAAAGTCCAGTGATGGGTTCACTTCAGATATTTTCTTGGTTTGCAGAAATGTTTTCTTCTAATAACTTAAAGATTGATTATATTTTTCATTCACGTATATTTGCTGCAACCTTTGCCTGATTTTGCACGATTCTCAATTTGATTCAGAAAAGAACAAATTAAATTCTTATTGTGGTTAAAAGTATTGCATGAAAAATTGCAGAGGATTTAAAGAAAACTGATATTAACTTTTTATGGACAAAACCAGATAAATATAGCTCAATGTGAATGCTTTAAGTATCCTTAGAGAAGAATCGTTCCCAGAATACATTGGGTTTTTGTTGTTGTTGTTGTTGTTGTTGTTGTCTTTTGTTTTTGTTTTTTCATGAAGGAGAAGGGCAACTCTTTTGGACTTTTCAGTCTCAATCCTTATCTTTTAAAATACAAACCACTTGTAGTTTCCAATGAATGTGATGTCTCTCCCCTGTGTTTCTCTTTGTTATCATGATTTCTTCCTGAATTGACTTTTCCTCTCCTCTTTTGTAGGCTTCCTTGACACTTTCAGCATTTACATCTTCCAAACATAAAGTCCAGCCTTCCCCTTTCTCCTGGGGTCTCATCAGAGTCTAGTACCATGGTGGCCAACCTATGGTA